GAAGACCCTTTTGCCTACCCCTGCCGTATTGGCTGACTCCCCATAGCAAAGCCTTCCTGGGAGTGGGGGATGAAGTTTTCAACGAAAAATAGTCTTCAAATGGAAAGTGATAAGTAACACTAAGGGTGTGTGTAGAGTGGCATGATTTTGCGCAAATGCTTTTAACGGAAAAGTTTTTCTGTTAAAAGTATTTGCGCAAGAGAGCGTCTATACTGGCAAGTGCTTTTGTGCAAAAACATCCGTGTCAGTGTAGATGCTCTCTTGCGCAAGAAAGCTCCGATGGCCATTTTAGCCATGGGGCTTTCTTGCGCAAGAAATTAACATGGCTGTCTACATCAGCCCTCTTGTGCAAGAATACTTGCGCAAGAGGGCTTGTCCCTGAGCGGGAGCGTTGGAGTATTTACGCAAGAACCACTGATTTTGTACATTACAAAGTCAGTGTTCTTGAGCAAATACTCGCAGCCAGTGTAGACAGGTGGCAAGACAGTCTGAGAGAGGTACCACAACTCCTCTGTGTGCCAAAGGCTGCATGCCGGGACTTTCTTCCCTGACTGCCACATCAGGGTTGGGGATGTGGACATGCCTGTGTGCCTGGTGGGGGATGCAGCCTATGGCTGATTAACCTTGGCTGATGAAGCCCTACACGGGACACCTCAACCTTTCCCGACAGGCCTTTAATGCCAGGCTCGGCAGGGCCCACATGGTGGTGGAGAGGGCTGCCAGCTGGTTGAAGGCCTGTTTTAGATGCCTCCTCCTCGCCTGGACTTCTCCGAGCAGAATATTCCGCACGTGGTGGTAGTGTGTTGTGTGCTGCATAATTTGTGTGAGAGGAAGGGGGAGGCTTTCCTGCTAGGTTGGATGGCAGAGGTCAAGCACTTGGCTGCCCTGTACACACAGCCCTGCACAGCTGTCAGCTGGGAGGCCTGTTGGGGGGCTGTCTGTATCCGGAAGGCCCTGCAGGAGAGCTTCCACCCAGAGAAGGACTAAAGTCTCCCTGGTGTGCCCCACTGGGGGCTTGTGCCTCATTTCACCCTCACATCCCTTCACTGACCCCCTCTAACCTCCCTTCCTCATGTAAATAAAGACACATGTGTTGACAAAAAAAACCTCTTTATTGAACAAAACTGGGGTGGGGGGGAATGAGGGGAGGCAGGAGGGCGGGAAAGGGGAGGGGGAAACCTGGGAAGAGGGAGCTGGAAGGGGGAGGAGAAGAGAAAGAGAGTGAGAGGCAG